TAGAAAAATAAAGTTTAACAGTTTTTTTACAAGATTTTAATAGCTTTAGTACACTGGCACACAAAAGTCATTACAACTCTCTATATCAGTTTTAAAAGGTCAATATTATTGTCTTCTTGCAAAGACTATATTTAGCAATTATTCACCAAAGTGGAGGTGAATAGTACTTGCTATTCACCTCNTGATAGTTGATGAGGCTGAGGGCCGGATCAACTATCACCTCATAGAAATCGAGAGCGAATAATGTAATTGTTTTAGTAGAATTCTAACTGAAATTTACTTCAAATAACGATTCCAAGTATTTCTGGTCTTAATATTAAACTTCTCGCCTTAGAGAATTCACATGGATGAGTTGTCAATTTGATATTTTCAGTTGTGTGCACGCACTTATCAGTTTCTTTTAATTCCAGAAACCATGAATGACCTTTTTCAGTCTTCTCAGGAATTTCACTATCCTTTTGTTGTTAAATGTTCTTTCAAAACTTTGGAGAAACAAGAAAACGTTGAAATTTTACCGACCACACCAAGCCACTGAACACTAATGGCGGATAGTGTTTAATGGCTCAGCCAATCAGATTGCAACATTTGCATTAGTGTTCAAGTAGAATCTTCCTAATAATATTTATAATGTGTCTGCATGTGTTGTCTTAGACAACTATCAATTAAAACCTGGAGAAATAATCAAATTACGGTTTCACATGACATTATCAAGTTCTAAAATCAGAAACTTAAGAGCCACCAGAATTTCTATACTCATCAGGTGTAAGAGGTGCAAAATGTATAAAATTGTATGTGTTGACAACTTTTCAGCTCAATACAAACTGTAGCATCCTTCCTTTTAAACTTGCATTAATTTTGAATTTCAGAGTTATGGAGTTGCATAACATAGCCTTCTGATCATGAAGGATATATACATGTGCATGTATTACTTATCCCTTGATTTTTAACCATTAGTGCAGTAAAAGTAGTAAGAAAAGTGTTTATTACGTAAATATTATGTTTGTTTGGTACAGATAATCAGTAGCCTAGATAGCAAAGTAAGTTTCATAAGGTTACACTATTTTCCAGCCATTTTTCTTGAATAACACCAATTGAAAGAAAATTAATATATTTCGCACCAAATAAAGAGCTGAAAAATGGCTAAATTTGTTAATAATGGTTCCATGATTTAATGGCTCTCGGTGAGTAAAAATTCAAAGTTGCATGATTCAAAGTCTGGCCAAGTGGGAACACAGGTCTGCTCATTGACTAAATATGTATATATAAAAAAAAAAACAAATAAAAAGTAAAAGGCGTGGTCCATACTCAGAGTAAAACATGATCCATGCTCAGCCTCAGGCCATGCTTCTAATCGCAGTTTACAGTGAGCATGATTTCTGAGATGCAAATAACTTTGTTTCAAGAGATTTCAACCAAATTCTTTGTACAGTCATGATGAATGGTTTCTGCTGTATGGAACACATATGCAAATGTTAAATACACTTGAGTAACAAAATAAAATAAATGGCTTTTCTGTTGTTTAGCAATTCAGAATACACTGTACAGAGTGAGCAATCCAAACTTGTAACAATTTCATAATAGTCTTCTACTGACAGTACTGGAACATTAGCTGCTAAGCTGATCACCTGAGAGTTCTCATCTTTGCTGTGTTGGATGTTGGCAGACAGTGCCGAGTTGTTCAAAAGCCTGTTAACACTAACCCTGAATTAAAAGAACTTTGTGGAAGTATTAATTTTTCACTTTTTATGTGATGTGGCTAGTTTTAGATTATTCAAGCTCAAAACTGAAGGACAAGCAATATGAACAGGAATCCTCACCGAAAAGTTACAAAACGGAATTCAAAATTCTCGCTAATCCTGGTTTTTTTTATAATTTATTTCCACAATAACAGACCAAAAAAAAAACTACTTGCAATGCAATCAGATAAAGCCGCAGGACTATTCTTTGACCCTACCTACCGGCCTGGGACTAGTTGATAGTGCCGAGGATATACTTCTACACCATGCACTTCTAATTGCCATAAAATGTTTGACTGAACAAACTACAGTAATCTGACAC